TTGTTGTTGCTGCTGTGGTTGTTGTTCTTGAACTACCTTTGATGTTAGCTCATACAATTGTTGTTGTTTCATTTGTTGGTGGAAGGGTTGGTGTTGCTCTGGTTTTAGGAGTGTTTCTTGTTCTATTTGTGTTTTCGGCTGTTGTTGAAATGTTTGCGACTTATGATCTTTTAAAATCTCTAACAATTTTTTGTAATCTTGCTGAGGTAGTTGTGTTTGTTGTTTTTCTGGAGTTACATTAGATTTTAGCTCATTCAATTGTTGTTGCTTTTGTTGTTGTTGCTGTTCATCAAAATTCAGGAGAGGTTCCAGTTGGGTGTCATCACTCTGTTGCTGTTGATCCGTTTTTGGTAGCTGTGGAGTTACATTATCAAACAACCTTCTCCGTACTGGTATTTTTTGTCCTTGAAGTAGTTGAGTAGAGTTTAATAGAAATGTTTGTTCTAGAGTTATCTTGGATGGCAGCTGATTCTGTTTTTGTGTTATTTGCGGGGGTTGTTGAAAAAAGTGCGTCTTATCTTCTCGTGCGTCTTATCTTCCGAATTCAAATTTATTCTTATTGTTTTCATGTTATCATCTTCACCATCTAATTCATTCCAAATCAACAACTCACTTGGATCTAACAACTCATCCGGATGGTCTAACTTCTAACATATCATTCGAAAAATTGATGTTTAGTAGCTCCTGTAGTTAAGTTCAGTTCTTGCCTTGGTATTGTAATTTAGGGCAGTGTTTGTTGCTGAATGCATTTTTTTTAATTATTGTTGCGGTTGTTATTGTTGTTCTTGAAAGGCTAATATGTAACGTAATAGCATCTCTTCCAGTATTTTTCTATGATCATTGTCTCGTGTCTGATGATTGTTTCTATCTTGTAATGGTAATTTTTAACGTTGCTTTTGAAGGGATATAATATAACTTTCGTCAGATGGCTTGTCATTACTGATCTGTGTTACTTCGCCATATTGCTTTTTATCCTTTGCATACGCATGAATCCACGCAAGTCAAAACGCTAAGCGAGGATCTCTGCGTTTGAACTATTACTACTACTGCAGCGACCCTTACTACTATGACATAATATTAGTGATAGCTGCCGCATTATTAGTTGTTGATATTAATTTTTTTTTCATTGTTCATAACAAAAATTTATTTCTGATAACCTATTTTCTTTTTTGAGAAAATTTATTTACTACGACAACGAAAATGTACAATAAGCACATATAATATGTATAATGTACATACATTCGTTGCTAATTACACGCACACGTTTATATTTTTGCTCTGGTTGATTTATATATTTTGTTGGTTAACTACGTTAGTTGGAATTAAAATTATAATTGGTTCAGTTAAGTTTAATTCAAAAAACTACGCTGTAAAAACTCTCGTTTGATTTGTTTTTGTTAAAAGACTAGTAGTTAGTAGACATTTATTAGTTGTTTGAAGATCACCTTCAAAACATTCCTTTCACTTGCTTGTCACCAAATATCGTTTTTATAATGTCGGAAGGCATCAAATGTTCGTACTGTGTATTTTATAGTCATCTTAAGTGCGCTAAATTGACTGACGAAGGTTTTAAATTTTGAAAAATACAGTGAATTTGAAATATTTTTGCGATCAATGCCTAAAGTTTTCCGAGTCATTCAACACCGTCAACAAGCTTATCAAAAATAAGACGAATGTTCTATTCAGGTAAAGTCAATTAAAGAAAGCAATAACAATATAATGCGTGAATTGAATCAATTCAAAACCTCTCTAGATTTAAACCGAGAAAAATTAAGCCAAATATCAAACGCTGATGATTTGCTCGACAAATCTATTACCAACTTAAAAAATGAACTCAGCGCGACTTCCTCCAGTATTGTCAAGAAAAATATTGATGCTGTATCCAATGAAGTGAAAACTGTCAAAAAGACGTTAAACACAGTTAATGGTAATAAAGAAAAAGAAAACAACATTGTTTTATTTAATTTGTCTGAAAGTGAAAACGTCTCAAAAGACAAAGATGTTGTTATGTCTTTTTTAAAGTCCTTAGCCGGGAATGCTTTCAGTTTCAACAATGTTTTGGCAATTTTATGACAAGAAAGAAAAAGCGACAAAGTTTGTCGGCCTGTTATCGTCAAGTTCAGTGACGCTACATTCAAATTGTTGATTTTGAGAGCGTCTTTTAAAATAAGGTCATTCGACGGGGAATTAAATAAAGTTAAAATTAGACATTATTGGACTCCAGAGCAACGTACTGAGCTCAATTCACTATTATCTGAGGCTTAAACCAAGAAAGCTGGTAGTGAGAATTTTTTATTCAGGGTCATAGGTCCGATCGAACGTTGGAAAATCATCAAGCTACCAAAAAACGCCACAAATTAATTTTTAATTTAGCGTTGTTTAATATAAGGTCTATTGCGTCAAAATTAGACATTACTTATACTTAGACATTTTTGTTATCACTGAGTCATGGCATGGTTCGCTGGGTCAAATGCCTTTGCGGATGATAGACCGGGGTTTTGATGCGATGGTTGATAGATTTTTACGTTGTTTTAATGAATTAAGTGAATGGATGGTAAATAATAAACTAAAACTAAACGAAAACAAAACATAAATTCTGCCTGTTGGTACTTGGCAGCAATTAAAAAAGATTATTATTAACTCCATCAACATCGGTGGTTCTAATGTTGAGTTCTGCACTTCTGTTATTAATCTGGGCGTTGTATTTGATACTGCAATGTCAATGGATACAAAGTCATTGGTTATAGATTGTTCCTATCAACTTCGCAAACTCAGGCATGTAAAAAATCAGTCAATAACGACATCTCGAAATGTTTAGTTCACGCATTCATTCATTCAAAATTGGATTACTGCAACAGCATTTTTGCGGAGTTTCAAATCAATTGATTAATCGTCTTCAGTCAATTCAACATCGAGCTGCTATGATCATTTCCTGAGGGTTAAAATACGATCATTTCAGTAATACTCTACGAGATCTCCATTGCCTCACAATTAAAAAAAGAATCCTCTTCAAGCTTGCCGTTTTGGTTTTCAAATGTTTAAATGGATTAAGCCCAAGCTACTTGTCTGGAAGGTACAAAACGAAAACTATTCATCACTTGCAATTACGCTCAGATGATCAGTTATTTTTATCGGTGCCAAGAACAAATTTGATGGTGGCCAATATGAATTTTGCCGTTGCTGGTCCACAAATTTGGAACTCACAACCATACAGCCTCCTTCAACTTGGTTTAACTATTCAGAAGTTCCGCAAAGATTTGAAGACGTATCTTTTTTCCCGATGATTTCACCAGATGAAAGCAGCGCTTTTGAGTTGCATTAAAGGGCGCTATATAAATTCTCTAATAATAATAATAATAAGAAGAAGAACGCGCACTCTTATATACGATGTAACATTAAGGCGATGGAAGAACATAAAATTAAGATATCGCATTAAAAATATATAATGTAACAGAAATATTAATTTAAAAAAAATAAAATTTTTTAAAAAGTTAACAATTAAAAGCAACATTAGTGGAAGATCAGACGGTATGTTATTATCCATTGCCTTTCGTTGTGGTTGCTGCTGAAGTATTAGTAGTTGCTGTACTTGTGCTCGTTGTCGTAGTAATCAGTGGTTAGGTTTAAATTGTGGCTGTTGTTGTAGCAGTTGTTGTGGTTGTAGAAGTTGCTGCTGCTGCCGCCGTTGTTGATTCTTTAAAAATATTTGTTGTTGATTAAGTTGCTGCTTCGGCGGCTCTAACAGTTGTTGTGGTTGTATCAGTTTTTGTGGTTGTGAAAATAGCTGCATCTGTTGTTGCTGTCATAAATTTGTTGTTGTTCATCTGGTTGCTGCGATAGTTGTGGTTGTAGAAATTGTTGTTGTGGTTGCAGCAGTTGATGTTGTGGTTGCAGCAGTTGTTGTTGTGTTGGGTTGACATCATCTTACGCAACACTATTGTCATTATTACTTCCAAATGCATTCACTACTCTTGCGCGCCCTTGTAGTTTTCTCTCTTTCACTCGTCTGTATTGAAACCAATAGCAAACTTGATTGATATTTAGACCGGTTTCAGCTGAAATCCTCTCTCTTCTACTTGCATCCAAAAAATTGTTTTTCGCAAACTCATTTTTCTATCTGCCCCGGACTGTGTGCAGTTCTGTGGTGGTCTTATGTTCTTCTCCATCCATTTTTAGGATCAGAATTGTTTGCCGGTTGTATCGGTTGGTGGATAAAAGATGTCTGTGAGCTTGGTTGTTGTGGTTGGAGCAGTGTTAGTTGTGACTGTAGTGGTGGTTGCTGCAGTAGCAGTCGTTGTTGTGATGATGGTTGTGGTAGAAATGGTGGTAGCTGTGGTTGGTGAATAAAAATTTGTGGTTGTTGTGTGAGAAATGTGGGTTGTTGTGTTAAAAATGGTTGTTGTTGTGAAGTTTGTCCAAAAGGCAGCTGCAGGCATTATTGAGGCTGTTGATTGAATGGATGATATTGACTAAAATGAAATTGATGGTGATAATG